TTGGGATAAAGGTGTCAGGGGGCGGGACTTTAGACAAGCTTCGATGCGGGTTAATAAAGTATAAAACTCCTCGTAAGTTAAAGATGCATTATCGACCACCCTGTGCAAGTGATGTTTCACGCTTCGTACGACACGCTCCCACAATCCCCCAAAATCAGCCAACCTACTGGGTATGAAATGAAATTTCGTACCTACGGATGCGGAGTACTGCAATATTTTATTTTGAACCTTTCGCGGGATTTCGAAATTGGACAATTTCTGAAGGGTTTTAATAAATTTGATAAAAGTGTCGCGAATTTCAACTGGTATAGGTTCATCCGAATTCGATTTATGCGACCAAAGGTTCTGCAAGAGAATTTTTGCCTTATCGATAATTGGATTTATTTCACCAAGAGCGTTAAAGATTTTTGCGACCATGGATAACATGTAGCGTTTTGTAACAGTTTTAGGACAACAAATTGGCGGAAGATTTATTTGATATTTCAGTTGGTCACCTAAAACCTTTTCATAATCTGCTTGTTCAAATACAGTACGATGGGGTAGGCAATAACTATTTGGGAACTCCAAAGTATTAAAAGGAACGAGCTCCGTTTGGTTTAAGCCGCGATATTCTAGCATAAACTCTTTGTCGACGGATTTTAGTTTATGGTCCTTGTCCGGTCTATTCTCTAAATTCAAGAATTGCTTTACAGCCCTTGGGCGCGACTCATCCAAGCGAAGGCCTTTAACAGGTAATTTTACCACGAATTGTTCTGACGACATCCAAGTTGCGTTTTCTATGGAATGTTTTTCACATTCTAAGTGATTGGTCTTATATTCGTCCTGATGGAATACGTAATTAAAAATGGGTTTACAATTTACCAAGTTACATGATACGCTTGGAGCGGGAATGGTTGTAATTAATTCGCCCGACAAAATGTGACCTAGTTTTGTATTTTGTAAATATGGTAGATTTTTATCTAATAAAATAGGTCCGTCTAATAATAATTTCCAGAATAATTGCGCTCAAATTAACAAATCGACATTTTGGGTAACATTATAATTAGGATCTGCTAATGTTACATTTGGTGGCAAATTAATTATTTCTTTAGGAAATGTTACGCTAGGAATCGGCAGAGTAATTTTGGAAAGAACAACACAATCGAAATTTGTTGCAAATTCGCTGACGCGCGATTTTATAGTTACGTTCACATTTCCTTGTGTTCGATTATTGCCGGTACTGATACCAGAAATAAATTTGGTTCCAGTTGTTGGTGTGAGACCCAATTTATTACATAAACCCTTAGTGATTACATGTGCTTGGGAGCCGCCGTCCAAAAGCACTCTACATGTTTGAAAATCTCCTCTTTTATCTAAAATAAAAACTGTTGCGGTTGATAAAAGGACTTGGTTACAGGTTTGCCTTTGCAAAGTGTTAGCGGATGGTACAAATTCATTGCTATGTAGCAATGTGTGGTGTCTTTGATTACATTCCTTACATGAAAATGTTGATTTACAATCTTCAGTTTTGTGATTATTTCTTAGGCAGTTTGCACAAAGTTTTAAATTTTGAGATACAATGTTTCTGTCTAGAACGGATTTGCTTAGAAATTCATTGCATTGATAAAGAGCGTGTGAATTTTTGCACAAAAGGCAATTAAATTTGGACACTACGTTAGAATTATTGAACCTTTTTTGAATAATGTTTTGCGGTCTTATATTTAATTGTTTAGGACTAGAAATTATTGATTTGGGCTTATTGGATGGTAAATTATTGGTTTTTAACTTATCCATCGCTTCCAATATTTCACACCTTTTTTCTAGAAATTCGGAAAATTGCAGGAAAGTGGGTACTGCCTTGTCTAGTGTTGACTGCCATTCCTTTTTAGAGGCATAATCTAATTTTTCGAATACAATTTGGACCAAAATTGCGTCCCACTGATCGACCGGTAAATTTAACACCTGTAAGGCCGCGACATTATTGGAAACTGTGTCGATAATTTCCCGTAATTCCTTGTGCGATGATTTTAACAAGCTGGGTATGTTTAAAATGTTTGTGATATGTTCCTGAACAATTAATCTTTTATTTTCAAACCTTTTTTGTAAAGTTTCGATTGCCTTGCTGTAGTTTTCGTTGCGGACCGCCAATGATTCGATGGACCGCAACGCTTCATCTTTTAAACAACTACGCAAGTAGTGGAATTTGCGGATATTTGATATGTTCCCGTCATTGTGTACTAATGATTTAAATAGATCAAAAAACGAGAACCATTCGCTATGTTTGCCATCAAAGGTAGGCAGTGGTAAAGGTTTCAAATTTACGCTATGTTCATTGGCTTCGAGTTTATTACCATCATTATGTATGTTAATAGTTGTAGAGTTAGGGGTTAGCGACGGGTTTGACGTCGCCGGACTGTTCTTAATAATTATGCCTTTTATTTTACCTAATGTTTTATAGTATTGGTTTTCAACCGAGGTACGTTCCTTATCATTTTCTGATTCCCAATACGATTCATTATGTTCCGCGTCTATTATCTGAAGTGACTCTATTTGATTTTGAATATTATTGTACTCCTTTAATCTTTCTGTCAAATCTAACAACCTTGCATCTAATTCCGGTACACTATCGTCGTCTTTTACATTATTTTGTATACGCGTTATTGCAGCCTTTATTATTTTACGCTGATTTTTTAACTTCATAAGTTCGGCCATTTCGAAGGACTACAGACGCGCAACGACAAAGGTAAAACTTGAGCACAGGGCGATTGATATGTATAAGAATTTAGAACTGTATGATTTAGAAGGATAGAAAAAGGAAGGATCTGACCTTTTGATGATTTGATCTGCTGCAACCTCTCGATGATGATCCGCTTCTGGGATAAAATCAGCCGACCTTTTGATGATTTGATCTGCTGCAACCTCTTGATGATGATCCGCTTCTGGGATAAAATCAGCCGACCTTTTAATGATTTGATCTGCTGCAACCTCTCGATGATGATCCGCTTCTGGGATGTTGGCTGCTGCAATCTCTCGATGATGATCCGCTTCTGGGATGCTGGGTGCTGCAATCTCTTGATGATTATCCGCTTCTGGGATGTTGGGCATGTGTCTTGATTTACGATTTCGTGGAGTTCTGGATCCGCTTTGAATATCGATTTGCCGCACTTATTCACTTATTGTTATACCGCTATTCGGGCACTGGTTCGGATATTCGGCTCGAATTGACCAAAAATGTTTATGATTATTAGGAATTGGTTCGAAGGACCAAAAGTGAACACTGCGACCGTTGTACTTGGGATTTATTCCAGAACTCTTACTACATAATTGTGTGTACAGGTACCGACTAAATGGGGTGGGTGGGACACACCCCCACCTCTCACAACCCCAGGTACCTGCTTAATATGATTGGATATGGAATTTCCAACAAATACATTATATTTAGTTCTTTATTGTACTGTTTTATGTGATCATTCAATATTAATTTTTCGTCGTTTTGCTCATCATTAGTATTTTCTCAAAGAAAAAATTCGAATGTTATTTCGACAGAACTTCCCTGGCTCCTGAAGTACAATAAAACAGACCCAGCTTTTTCGAAAATCTATCAAATTTGATTTTGCGAATTTTGTTTTTTTTTATGAGTTATTATAAGTTAAAATAAAGATATCTATGTAATGATAAAGTAATCGTAAAGAAGCGTCCTACACGTATGTTTCAGATAAGTTTTTCCTGTACAAAATTTTGTGATGACGTCCTAAACATCTTTGGAAGGACACGTATCTCAATTTGGATAGGTGCAGTTTAGTACTAATAATAACATTATTGTATTTCCAAATTTTTGGGAAAATGGAGTGCGCCGTTGTGGATTTAATCAGTTAGATAATTAGATAGAGACTCATTCATTAATTATTTTGGGACACCTGTATAAACAATTCTAAAAAATGTAAATGCAATTTTAAATCACAAGTATATACTTATTATGTTTTAACATTACAATAGGATTTATTCGGCAAAATTTTAAGATGACGTCATCAATTTTTGGGGGGGGGGGGATAAATAGATATACTTTGATTAAAAAATTACCATGCTTGCAATGGATGGCTGGATGCTTCAAGTAAAAAATTCAACACGGATTCATAAACTACATGTGAACGAGTGTGTTATTTATACAGATTAAAAGCCATCTATACTAAACTCATTTGACATACACCTAGTAAAACTTTTGACTTAAACGGTTTAAGCCAAACCACCCTTATAAGTCAAACTGGCTATTGTAAGCTTTATGGACCCGAACCGCAAGGATTATTACTGTCCATTGTTGCCATAATGGCGCTGTAGCGTTTTACTAGGTATATATCAACTGAGTTAAGTTATACAATAGCCAGTTTGACTAGTAAGGATGGTTTGGCTTAAACTGCTTAAGTCATAAAAGTTTTACTAGGTGTATGTCCAGCGAGTTTAGTATACTATTTAAAATTTGGTTAGCGTTTTACCATTTAGATGATATTGTAATACACACATAAAATTTGACAACAATCGATGGTTTCGAAGATTATCTGTCCAACAAAAATCGACAGTTCGATACAGACAGGCAGATAGACAGACGGAAACGGAAGACCTATTTTTTCTTACTCTAGGGTTCATGACCATCCAGACAATATGAAAGTAGCCAGTCGTCCGTTGGACGCGATTAATACTTCTGTGGCTCGGGAAGTAAAAACTGAATGTTCCTGAAATAGCCCAAAATTAGTCGCAAACTTCAAGTAATTGTTTCGATAGACATTTTATACTCGTAAATAAATACTATCATATTTTGTTCTCAAAAATATTTTCCATAATGTATTCCAACAAAAACTGTAAATGGCCAGGTTTGTTTAGAACTACCGACAAACCAGTTCCAGTAACCATAATAATAACAACTTTAATTTTACTCTTCCCAAATCCGGTTTAAACCTTTTCCCTGCCTCCTTGAAACGTAAATTACACCTAAAAGTTAAAGATTTACATTTTTTTATTTGTTTCAGATTTGCCTTCAATTATTCAGTACTGGCTTTCACAATGAAGGTAAGTTTCAGTCACGTACTTAATGGAGATTTAGTTCTCAAGGGTAGGATAAGAAAAAATCAGCGGGTAGTAAAAATAATCTTAAAATGTTGTAAAAAATGTACAACAAAATCGAATTTATTTCAAGTTGTATAAATGTATGTTTAGTCTAATTAAACTATGTTTACTCACTCGAATAGGTTTACCGGGTTTTACAGTTTAGTGAAAACCTGTTTCTTTTTTGATTCTGTGTGTTCAGTGACATTCCAGTGGTTTAGAGTTCCCAAAACAACTGATCATTTAGGTTTTCAAAAATCCGTCGTCACGAAGATTTTTTTCCCTCAGAAAATATAAAAGCCGGTTCAAATAACCAGAAAATAATAGAAATTTTCTTCCCAATATTCTCAGCCAAGAACATCCTCATTCAACTAAATATGTATTATTAAATTGAAGCATTAAATTTTTCTATAACAAAATTTACCATGCTTTCGCGTCAGAGAATTATTTTGAAATGCATTTGGTTGCTGACATATTGTCGTAAAGTTAAGCGAAGAGTATTCATTTATACATTTCAAAAACTATGATGGGATTATTTTGTTTCAACTGCTATTTGGCGTTATTTTTCATCATAAATTCGCTGTTCCAGTTATTTCATTCGAATAATCAAACAATTAAGAAGATAAGAAAAAAAGATCAAATGGTAAACAAATAAATAAAACAAGTCAGATTAATATACAGGGTATTTTCGAAATTTATGCATCAAATATTGATCTAATAAAAATCTTTTAGTTTTCGAGATAAAATTGATTGAAAATCTGTTAAAATTTGCGTGTGCGCTACTGATTTCAAAAATGTTAAAGGTAAATTTGATCACTATAGTAATTTAAAGTAGGTAAAATTGTTGCTTGTTAACATGACAATACATTCATTAGCCCATCATTTTTTGACGTTTTTGCAATTTTTTGGAAGAACAAAATGAATTTTTCTAATTCTGAAATGACTGACATGGTTCTGATGTATGGACAAGCCTTAAGAAACTCCTTGGAAGCTCGACGTTTATACCAAGAAGCATTTCCCGAACGAAGATTGCCAAATCATAAAACATTTGCTAACGTTGTTCAGCGTCTACGAGAAAATGGGAAATTTCAACCTCGTTTTAGTGATCGTGGTCGTGAAAGGACAGAACGGACACTTGATGCCGAAGAAGAAATTTTGAATGTCGTTGAAAACGATCCAGGTATAAGCATTAGACGATTGTCTTACCGAGTGGGAGTTTCACCTTTTGTGCTGTGGAGAACTCTACATGAACAAGGCAACAATCATTGATTAGACGTGCGGAAGCGTGTATACGAAATGGTGGTGGACATTTTGAAAACTTGCTCTAGTTGCATACGTTACGTTTTGTTTCATTTTATGGTTGATTAAATTATGATTTTGAAGTTTTAATTGTCAGTTCATTAATTATTGTCATTGTTTATTTGTTGCTAGCAATAAATTAATAGCAACAGTAGTTACACCTCGGCAGTTTTCAGTTACTAGGTTTCGCATTTTTTCGTAAAACCATTATTTATCAGTGGAGGAATGAATGTTTGGATAGGGGTTAAATTTTCCTTTCAAAATTTTACTAAAACAACAAACGTTAATTTGACTTCTTAGGTTCCCTACATTCACCAGATATTTTGTTTCCATGTATTTCAATAACACCCTGTATAAAAGACTATTATATTTCTTTTGAATGCAAATTAGTTTCTGTATGTATCACACCACAACTTCCTTTTGTTTTTGATTTCTTCGTTTTATTTATTTCTTTTTTTGTAAACAAATTCTACATGAAAAACACATCTCGAACTCGACTGGTGAAAAAAATGAACGAACTCGGAAATGAACTTGCTAGATAATTAAAGTGTGCTTTTAAAAATATACAAAAATAGGTTGCGAAAAATACACTTGTGATTCCATACACAGATTTGATCTGAAAGAATGTGATTGCTATTAAGTACACAACGTGTTTCTTTTATTTGATACAACCCCTGTAACTTTTTTATTTTTAAAAATAAACCTGTAGGCGAACATACTAGTTGGCTCCGGCGGCTACTTTTGAATCTTAAGCAACAGGTAAATTGGCTCCGGACTAATAGGTAAATTGGCTCCCGCCAGATGCATGTACTAGTTGGCTCCCATCTCCTGCTGCCTGCATGACGGGTAACGCAGAACTGTGGTTGTTTTCACAAAACCTAATATCTAATGCCAACTGAAAAATTAAATTTCATTTAAAGTTGTTATTTATAATTTTATTCGTTCATCATTGCAACGATAAGTATTTAAGAAAAACAACACATATACGTTCGAACTATTACCCCTAATAATTTTAACAATTTATTTACTATTGCTTGGTAAATATATATTTTTTTATTTTTGTTAGTATTGTATTTTGCTGCAAAAGATAAGGTAAATATAAACCAAAACAAAATTGCTGAGCTTCTGTCTGTTTAATTTTGAAGTTTCAGTCGCTTCGTGAGTATGTTCACCACTTTGTTCTATTATTCGAAGCATTCGTCTTGATGTACATACGATTTACAGCCACGTTTTACACACTGCCAACGTATAACACTTTGAGCTAACACTTTATGAAAATTATATTTATAATTATTACCCAATTAACAGAACTGTTTTCCCTTTTCCACTAATCATTTCGTCCAAACAGTCCATTTTGTAACAATTATCTTAAGCGCTTGGGCACAAGAAAGTTTAAGAAAAAACTGATATTTTTCGACCGGAAATTTTGTATTTGTGTTGAATGGGCATTTTCGACCAGTGCAGATAGTAATAAAAGTATAGAAATATTTACTCTCACCGTAACGATTGTTATCCTCTTACTTCAAAGACCCCGCAAATCTGGGAAATACCAGAAAACCCCTTTGTAACTACCTTACCGCCACCACTTTCTAGACATAGAAATTTGATGACTATGGAATTATATGTTCCTGTAATTCAAACAACACATCTCTTCCGACAGCAGGAAATAACGTATCTGCAGATGATCCCCTCACCGTAGGAGGTACCATAAAATCTACCTTCCTTGCACCATCGGAGCCAATTTACCTATACCCATTTTTCGGCAGAGGGTCAAATACCGTCCGCCGGAGCCAACTAGCATGTACCCACCTGTAGTTCTTTGAGCAAATTTGTATCATTTTAAAAGATCACTTATGTGAGTAAATGACATGAGTGTTAATTTTTCATGCTACTAGGTTGCCATCACATAGATCTTTTAAAATGATACAAATTTGCTCAAAGAACTACAGGTTTATTTTTAAGAATTAAGAAGTTACAGGGGTTGTATCAAATAAAAGAAACATCCTGTATAAGCTCTGTATACTTTGGAATTCGGTTCTTTTTATGGGCGTTAACTATTATTATAGATAAAATTCACGAAACAATAACTTCTAGATCGTTGCTTGTACAGTCACAAGCAAAAGTTTTGACTCTAGTCATTAGCCCATTGGCCCACGTTTGCTTTCACAGTTCGGGATGATCCGTGTTTTGAATTCGACCATCAAAGGCAGAATTCACAGGTATATCTAAACCACAACGAAATTCACGTGTTCACCAGTTCTTACTCTGAATTAGTTTTAACTTGGAATCTTGCAACTTGGAGTTATTTTACGTTACAGAATTATTCCGAAGTATAATATTCTACATTTTGATGGAAAAGCCCGAAAGAAATTGAATTATGCAGGCATTCAAAAGATGACCGGTTTGTGTACATTAAAATTATTAAATATAAATCAAAATATACAGGGTGTCTCAGAAATAAGTACATTAATTTTAATCAGTTATAGAGCTCAGTGAACTCAACAACTTTTTTTAGTAGAGTTTTGTCAAGAACTTTTTAATTATCAACTTAAAAATTGTTAAAGTTATATCCCAATTAAGGTTACCCGCCCATGGATCCTCAGTCACCCATGGACACTAATAACACAGGCCTGCGAAATATAACTTTTAATTTCCCTTTTAAATAATATTGTTTTTTTTAAGATATTTATGTATGCCGAATTAAAATATAACTCTAGTTTTTTTGTAGCACATCGAGATTTATTTTTATGTAGGCCTAAATATTCATAGTTTTTCAAACAATTTTTATGAAAAAATAAAATATAAAGAATATAAAATTGAATGTTTATTTATTAAATGAACTAAATTAGTTATAAACAAGACTTAAAAAAACAAATAAATCAAGAAGCTTCTTTTTTTCTTTCTTCAAAACTCTTATTTAAGCGTTTTCTCTTGTATTCACGGTAGGATATGTTATTGCTGTTACATTTTTCGTATTATATCTTTTTATATTTGAACAGCAAAAGTAACAATCGTCTGTATGATTTTGTGGCTCCATCCAAATCATTGGTGTCAGCAAACTTAAAGATTTTTTTTTCCTTTTGACCATTTGCCAGGTGTATGAACACATTTTATGAGGCATCCATTTTTTGTCTTGGTTTTTTATATTAACTTTAAAATAACTTTCGCATAGTTGTTCGATAAATTCAGAAATTATTTGTTGTTGTTTTTTGATTAAATAACTTCTACAAATGTAACAGAAGTTATCTGAAGAATTAACCCATTTCCGAGAAGACATTAGTAATTTTTTTTTAAATTCAGGGTAGTAAGCGCATAATCAACACAAATAACTCTTACTAAGCTGAACACGAAATGAAATATCAACACCATTATCCATACATTTTATTACCACAAAATCTAGAAGTTAATTTTTATAGTACTAAGAACAAAACTGAAAAAAATATTTTTTGCAGAAACTGTACGTGATAGAAATTTTTGCATTTTTTTTTTATACATGAGTATATAAGACCTACCGAAATTATTACTTGATTTTGTTGGGGGAAAACCATCGCAGGCCTGTGTAATTATTATAATTAATAATTTATGGTCAAAAACAGTTACTAGGATACGTATTTTCCTAATCTTGTCAATGTGACAAACATTTAGAGAGAAATTGAAAATCCTGC